GGAAAAAAAATAGGTTTTTATTCTTTCATCAAATATATTACTAAATTTATCGAGAAAAAAATTATATAACTAAAATAATAGACCCAGCCCACAAAATACTATCATTTTAATAATAGATCCACAAAAAGATGCTATTTTATATAGACTAATTATCACAACAAGTCCTTAATGTAACACAAGCAAAAATATTTGCTACAGGAAAAACTCCTATCGCAAAAAATAAAATTTTATTGTATTTGTTGCCACAACAATGGCTTACCATTGCAAATAAATCATTTTAAACAATGGCATTAGGAACAGTCACAAAAAAATTAATTTTGCCACAGTAAATATACCGTCACAAAAAATAAAAAAGTGATGCAAAAATTCAAAATTCTTGTAGTGAGAGTTGTGAAAGGTAAGATATCGGTCTTGTTCTTTGCACTGGGATTTAAAGTTATTTAGTTGCTAGATGCTATGCAATGTGGAAAACTTGTTTTAGTAGTTATATTTGTGGTGCCAAGAATTGGATTTTCAAATATTGGGATTGTAAAGTTATATTTTAATTAAATGCATGTTAATTGTATGAAATTTTATAATAGACGCGATTTGGCAAATGACCCGTATGTTGAAATGCTACATATACATACTATGTGCTCTTTCTCTCCTACATCACGCCAAATTCGATAGGAGCTCGATTATTTGATCGTAAGTCATTCTATACACACCTCCATATCTTTTACTAGATAAATTGGTAATTTGTTTCAATCTCTCTAAATTCTTACTTATATCAATCTAAATCCTCCCCCACCACTACATACAAATGTGTGAGCTCATTAGTTTTTTAGACAATTCAGGGTAATGGAATTGATGATAATAATTATGTTGAATCCAACTAATGAGAAAAGTAAGAGGTCTCATGTTTCAAATTTACAAATGTTTTATTTTGCCTGACATATTTCGATAATTTTTATATTTCAAATATTTTCAAGTATACATAGAAGGATATGAAGATAAAGTTGAAGTTGTTTCTCTATTTGTGCATGTGTGTATTTTTTATGTTTCGTCTTTTGTACATTTAACTAATTATACATCGTTATGATAATTTTGTGTATGAAATGATGGTTGTGTTGGTGGTTGAGTATGTATTAATGATTGTTATGTATGATTGTAAGTTTTGTAGACAAGTTTAGAATTTTTTGGACTTCTATTTGTAAAGAAAATTCTGCCAAAAATTCTTGAAATTAGTAGAGACTAGTTTGATATTTTGGTAGTTGGATATGTGTTGATGATTGTGTATGTATTGATTATTGTGGTGATTTTGGGTATGAAATGATGATTATTTTGGTGGTTGGGTATCTATTTATGATTATGGTGATATGATGTATTATAATGATTGTAACGTTAGATTGTTAGTTTTGTAGACAGATTTAAATTTTTTTGGACTTCTATTTTAAAACAAAATTTTGCCGAATTTTTTTAAAATTGGCAAGGACTAGGCTGATGTTTTGGTAGTTGAATATGTGTTGATGATTGTATATGTATTGATTATTGTAGTGGTATAGTGAATTATGATGATTGTTATGTATGATTGTAAGTTCTGTAAACAGGTTTAAATTTTTACGGGTTCTTATTTTTAGAGAAAATTTTGCTGAAATTTTCGGATAATAGTATAAACTATTTTGATTTCAAATTGATATGTTGTTTTAGGTTACAAAAAAGTCTTTCGGTAATGTAATATTTTTCGAGTTTTAATTTAATTTTTGGTTATGCCGTGCCTTCAGGCACGGGCAATTACTAATTATTATATATTGACAGATAGTTATCGATCATTCAATTCAAAATTTAATGACCAATATTAACAATATTAAGGTCCTCAAGTCTATATGATAGTTACCTTACTTTACATAGCGTGGGGAAGACCAAAGAGACAGTGCCGTGCCCTGTAAGTAAACTGTTCCAATCAGTTGATGGCGTCTATATGAAAGAGAATTCCGGAGTTGTTGTTTACCTGTTTTCTCCAAAACTGGTTTTTCGATTGAAATTTGTAACCATGACAAACATTTCAACTCAATTGAATCCCACGACTTCCTTGTTCTTGTTGATTTTCTCTAATGGAAAACGCCAAAAAAACAATGGAATTAGTGGGTATTTTAACCAGCAGCCTTTTATTTATTTTTTAAATTTAATTGATGACAACCATTTGAAATATCATGATTTTAGGGAGCTGTAGCTTTATATCCATAGGCAGAACATGCAACAAATCATATAGTATATTGAACGATTGCCAGGTATCAATCATGAATATAGAAAACTCCCAAGAAACAGAAAATTCCATTATGACCACCGCGCAATCATCAATATCATATCAATCATAAATTTTAATTTTAATAATTATTAATTAGTAATTAAAAATAGTAAAAGTAAAAAAAAATTAAAAAAATTACAATGCATCATATTTTTTTTTGAATAAAAAATAAATATACAGTAAAAAAATAATTTTTTTAATATCGGGACTATTTTTTAATATTTTTTTGAGAATTGGGAAAAATTCTATTGGTCTGCCTTCAAAAGTACACCATCTGGAGTAGGTGAATGATCTGCTCTATATATTAATTAATATAAATGAAAAAAAAAATATATATGGCCACAGGCATTATTTTCTGCTTCAGGGAATTATTAATATTTGAAAACCAAAAGAAAATAAATAAAAGGAAAATACATAAAATAGGAGACTTGTGGTTGGTTGCTGCTTTGCCTCATAATTATTGATGGCAGACAACACTTGTGGCGCATCACAAATTATGACTCGGCGCACTAATACATTATCTATATTCTAATATTTATATACATCACCTTTACTATATATATATTTTTATTTTGGCCCGTAATAATTTTTTTGTTCTAAAAGAAGTATTACCAAACGCTAACGAATATCACGGAGGTTTCAGGTGCGATTTATTATCACACTTCCTAAAGGGTAGTCATATTTATTTGGGAGAATTATACTTAAATTTTGTGAGGTTTATTACTTAATTACTCAAATTCTCTAACATTTGAAATATTACATATAAATTCTCTAAAATTTATACGCGCGAAATATTTAGACCCTTGTTATAAATGTATCCATTAATAAATTATATTCAGATCTCCTGAAGTTTGTAAACATACTACTTAAATCCTTTAAATTTAAAATATTATATTTAGATCAAAAATATTTCAATTAAAGATAAAATATCAAATATTTTAATTTTTATAATTAAAATTTATGTTCTACTGTATCATTTATTGAAATAAAATCACAAATAAAAATTTAATTTTTTCTTAAAAAATTATAATTAGTATATAATTATATTGTCTATTAAAATTTAATTTGGTCATTTACCAAACCACCACTCCAATTAAAAATAAAAGATACTGTATCCATTACAGTTTGACCACTTGTTTAATTTTTTTTGTTTTATTCTAATAGATAGTATAATTATATATTAACTATAATTTTTTTNCTATTATGAATGACTTAGACCTCTTGTTTGATTTTTTAGTTCTATTCCAATAGGTAGTATAATTGTATACTAATTACGATTTTTTTAAAGAAAATTAAAATTTTATTTCAATAAATGATACTNTCTATTCCAATAGGTAGTATAATTGTATACTAATTACGATTTTTTTAAAGAAAATTAAAATTTTATTTCAATAAATGATACTATAGAACAAGAATTTTGGTTGTAAAATTTAAAATATTTAATATTCTATTTTTGATTGAAATATTTTTTTATTTAAATATAATATTTTAAACTTAAGGGGTTTAAGTATTATATACCTACAAACTTTATGGGGTCTAAATATAATTTATTACCGAATATATTTACAGGAGATGTCTAAGTGTTACGTGTTCAAACTTCAAAGAGTCTGTGATATATTTCAAAATGCCAGGAGGCCGAATAGAAAGAGAAATGGACAAGACCACATGCTACATATGGCTAGTTTACCTTTACCATACAGGTGGAGGTAGCAAGGAGCCAAAATCCAACACAGTTGCCAGAAAACCAAGCCATCTTGGATGGTAGGGAAACGTAAGCCTCGACAGGCTTTATACACTCATGGTCCAAAGTATCGGAATGATGATCAGTCAATCCTGAATGATAAAATAAAAGCAAGTCTGGTTGGTGCTGGATTCCATTGTACAAACGTCTAATCCATTCATCGAAGCTGCAGCAGTACCTAATAAGATCAATTGACTTTAGCAGAGATGGAAAATGCACAGCATTGCTCAATATATACTACGATCATGCAGTAAATTGGCATACGAATTGTCACAATAAAGCAAAATTGGATAGAGGAAATAGCAATACAGAGAAATCTGGGAAAAAAACATCTGCAGGAGTAGAAGATAATAAAACCAAGAAGAACAATAAGAAAACATGATTAATCCATTGAATCCGTAAGTATTTTGATATGCTATTAAGGAAAAGGCTGCCAGATGAAATACCTTTTCCTCATTACTTCCTGACAACCATTACTATTGATGTGGTCCACTGCTTCAATGTCCAGTTGGTGCACAGAATCCTTTATTCCACAAAAACAAGAA